TAAAATTTTAAATTGATATAGTTTTTCTTATGAATTCTCTAGTTTAAGTTATCTTTCTACATTTTTCTTTGCAGAAGCAAACATAAATTAATACCATATTTCAAATATACTGCCATGTTACAAAAACAACTAGTTTAAGTTTCTAAATTATGTAGTTTTGTACACAGAATTTGAATTATGTTCAGAGGCATTTAACAGAGTTCTAAAGAGGATTCTTCTTTGGAACAATGAAATTCCACTATGTACAGTTTGTAGCCACATGAAGAGCATGTTGAAATGTCTTATTTCATATTATGTACTAAATCTGCAGTGATTTTAGATACAATAATCCATTGCATTTTAGAAGAGTTTTTCAATTCCAAACTGTTCTTTATATAAAAAAAGGAAAAAAAGGAAAAAAAAACAACAAAACTTTTTAGGCATTTCCTAGCCTGGACAAATTCATTTTCTGTACTAAAAAAAGTATTCCCCAGCTTTGCTTTTGGAATGACAGAGGTTAACTTCTTTCAAAAGAGTTAATAGTAACTAGATACACTTGATCTACAGAGATCTTTTAAGGAGTCACTGCAGTGTTTCTTTTAGATACATCACAGTGAGTAGTTCTGGTTTATTTATATTTTCTTCCATTGTTTAAAAATAAGGCTTTGGGTTGACTCCTTTAGTGATCAATGTAATAACTTGCTCTGATTAAAATGAGAAGTGAATTGGGCCCCTAATAAGGAGTTAGTTAGTGCTCTGCATTTTTGTTGCAAAGGAAGCAACAGTGATCTTAAATTAGAAACTCTGTCAGGAAAAGGGGTTTGGATTAAATCCAGAATGGAATTGTTGCAGTACTAATGCTGCCACTGTTCTTAAGAGTCCTTCAGCCTAAGTGAAAGTGCTTCCATGACACAGATGTGGGAAGATTTAAGTTACCTGGTCAGAGATGGTCAGGAAGAAGAAACAGGGTTTCCTCTCCAGTAGGAATGAAGTGCCTGATTGATGCTGGAGGGAGGCCTCTCCCTGGCCTGGGGATTCTCAGCCATGCTGTGAAGCAGCCTCTTGGAACAGACGTCTCCAAAGCTGGTGCAGTTTTCCTTATGAGGAGGAGCTCCCTGATCCCCAGCAACTCTGTGGTCTGGGCACAGACATGCAAAGCCTGCTGCAGGGTCTGTAATCTAGGGTGAAGATCTTGGATTCATGTCTCTAGCAGGAAAGTTCTAATGGGTTTGGCCTCTTTTTCGTGACCTACTCACAAGGAGCAGGAGCCTAGACCTGACTTCAGCACTGCAAGATAAGAGCTATTACCACTGGGATACAGTCAACTTGTCTTTTCTTCTGCCTCCTTGGCCAAATGTGTTGTAGCTTAGGCAGAGCAGCAATACTCAAGTTGATAAGCAGAACTACTTCTACAGACCAGTCATTTTGTTTTAGCTATACTGTCTGAAGGCGCAGGGAAGAAATGATTTGTACACAGAAGCCCTGTGTAGATGGACAGGTTGAAGTAGAAAAAATAAGAAACCTATCAGGCAAACCCTGTTTGCTTTTTTTTTCTGATTATATCAGCTGCTGTAAATAAAAGTGAGGAAGGTTGGCTCAAAATTCTACCTGAATCTAGCCTGTTGTGCTGCCATATTCCAATCTGTTGTATGCACAATATCATTCCATCAAAGTATTAGCCTGCAGTGGCATTTTATCACACATTAACTAACACAGGTCTAAGGAAGTAGGTTTTCTTCTCAGCTGTGTCTGTGAATGAATAATGGAGTCAAGGTAGGCTTTAGCTACTTCCTATGGTTTTGATTGCAGAAATACATAAAGTACCATAGTTTCTTAAAATAAGTTGTTTTGTTGATCATGACCTTTATCTTTTTCCATCAGTTCCTAAGTTCATTGGTTCCATTTATTGATGATGTGCTTACTCTCAAAACAGCACTGTTTCTAATGTTTCACAGTTGTTAAGATGAATCGTTGATAACAGATGTAATTAGATAAATCCCTTACAACATTCACTACCAAACTGGGGGGTTTACCAGTACATTTAGTTCTCGAGAACATCAAGATGACATTTGTCAAAAGCAACAAATTAACTAGTGCTTGATAAAGCATAGAGGTTTTGGTTTTGTTTCTTCTTAAAGATGATTGCATTCTTATTGCATTGTGTCAGCAGGAGTTGGGCTCCCTGAACGCTTATGATCTTCTTCAGCTTATATATTTTTGCAATAATTGTGCCACAAATGAAGTTTTGTAAATTCAGATCTATCAGGAAGTTCTGCAAAATTGCTTGGAAATTATCTCTACAGAGCTGTTTTGGGCTTTCAGACTTCCAAATTCTAATCCTCAAGTCAGTCTAATGAAGTGCAAGTCTCCTTCCTGGAATTACTGCTGAAATAAGAATGCTTTGGCTGCTTGATTCAACAGTCACTGCCTCAGTTACTCTGGGTATGTTCCAGATGGGCCGTGTATCTTACATGTGTCATAAGTTAAATTATTACCACAAGAGTTCCTCTCAGCATCTTAAACCAATTACCTGATTTGGATAAAATTGCTTTCCTACATTTAACTAACATCTTTTTTTTTTTATCCTGTAGGTCAGTGAATCTTATGGTAATCAAATAATGACAAGTGTTTCAAAATAAACCTAAGATCCTATTAGCTGCTTCAGAAAAGATGACTTGAACCCAAAGTCATTAACAGAAAAAATCATTTTTTGGTTGAATTATTTTTAGTGTCATGTATTGGATGCCAAGCAGAGCAGCTGATCATAGCACCGGCTCTTTGGAGCTGATCATGGTTGCTCTGGAGCAAGGAAATATAAAACTCTCAGTATAATCTTGCCGTGCACGATTAGTGGGTAGTCCTACTGAAAACAAAGTAATGTGAACAGAGTATAATCCCATTAGCACTTTTTTAATATACGTTTTTCTAAAATACTGTTTAAGTCTTTGTGCTTTTGTAGGCATCCTAACAATTTGTTGGTAGTGATAGAAAATATTCCTAAAGGCACGTTGATTCTTCCTTAACTGAAACAAGGTTTAGGAAAGTTAACTATCAGACTTATGGGCCAGTGGAAGGCTGCACTCTTCTGTCACACGTTCTAACTCTTCTGAAAGAAACTATTTTAAAGTATCTTGAGTCAGTCAAGAGCAAAGCAAGTTACACTTGGCCCATACAGTATAAATCATTCCTTGAATGGGCTGGAGTGTGGTTGGTATTTGGCAAAATCAAATGACAATGTAACATTTTTCCTTTTTTTTTTTTTTTAATAGGTATCACTTCAATAATGGGTTTTTTTGTTGTTGTTGGAAATGCTTGCTGCAAATGAAGTATTGTAGTAATTTGTAGGTTGCTTCCAACTTGGCAGAATATTGTTTTAATTTCATGGAAAAGAAAAATCCGATTTTTCAAACCTTGTCCCTCTGAAATACATCAACCTTGAGTTTTATATTTGTCCTTACAAGGAGGGATGTGTTCTGAACAAGTGAAGGCAAGAAGCTGTAGTAGAAGAAAGAAAAAGCCCTATGCTTTCTATCTTTACGGTTAGCAGTGTAATGCTGAAAGGCTTTTAAGCAGCTGATGTTTTCAGGCCAGCATCAATTACTGCTTTAAAACACACCCCATACAGACATAATGAATTATTCTTTGAGTGTTTTAGTTCTTAAGGGTTTTGCTGATTTCTGCTGTGAACAGTGAGCAGCTACAACTTCAAGTAGCTTAATTGTGAGAACTATGAAGCCTTGTTTTGAGGGGATGAACTCTGAAGGCAAGGTACACAGGCCCCAAGTCCTCCATTGATTTCAATGGCATTGTACCAGAGGGCGCTAAATATGAAGAATTTTCAGTGTTGAACTTAAGTGGTACTAGGATTCCTTTTAGGGAATGTAGTACAGTAAGGCCATAGCTGCCTGCAGGACGGGAGCTCGTTAGCCAGGGCAGACTGGAATCTTAGCCTTCCTTGTGTCAGCGGTTCAGTGCTTTCCTTGTTAAAAGGGGAACGTTGCTCAGTGACTGCTGAGGGGGGAACACAATTCTCTTCAAGCCTTAACAGTGGCTGAAACACACAGTACTGTAAGATGCACTGCCAGCATATTTGGTATTTTAAGATAAGATATAGTTTTTCCTTAGAGATCAAATTCTAGTGTTGAAATACAAAGTCTTACTGTATGCAGTTTACTCTTGCATTGTTTTTGAAACTGAATCCTAGTGCTCACGTTTCATATTGAACACAGTCTTAGGGAAGTCATCATCTTCATTTTCCAGAAGGTGTTGTTTGTGATGGTCAGTTTATAACTCCTGCCTTGTGGACTTCACAGCTGTAGGCAATGCCATAAGCCTGTGTGGCCAAATTAACTCGTACTTTCCTTCCACTTTCATTAACATCCCACTTGTAATAGTGGATGTAATAATACCCATTGGACTTCTCTAGATTAGATTAAAAAACTTGCTGCTATATTTGGAAACCTGGTATGGGGTCATGGTAATCGTGCCTTGCATCAATGTTACTTCTGTGTGCCAGCATTGTCCGTGTATATTTGAAATAGTCATTACAATAAAATGATCTAAAGTTCTTTCATAAAAGGAGAGGACAGTTCTCCACCTGGAGCCAGATGTTGCTTTACCACTGCAACAGTATTAACACTTCTACTTTCATGCAGTCCCAAGGCAAGGTATTCCAATATTATTCTTATATAAAACTGCTCTTTGGTGTCACTTAAAACCCATGTAATGTAGAGCTTATGCCAGTATGTGCAAAATAGCTGCAGTAAGAGTTATGCTACATAGACTTGTTGCAGTTAAACTTAAGTTACAGATGTACAATTGTTTGTAGGAATGTACTGCAAAAGTATTTGAACAAAACTGCTAACATGTTTACTGGTGTAAATATTTTAATAAAAAAAGACACTTCAAACTTTTTTTTACACAATTATCTACAATAAAGAGAAATTTACAACCATTTACAATCAGTTCTTAACTGTTTTTCTTTGCCATCAAGAACAGCTAAGATAAAGCAAAACTAATCAGTAGATAAACAAAGTCCTGTTTTTATTTCACTCTGTACTTATAAAAGGAACAAAGCATCTTGGTGAAGTTCCATCCGCATGCTAATGAGATCAAATAGAGCACAATGAGAAGTGCAAACGGATACAGAAGGATAGCTGTGTTCTTCAGAAAGGGCAATGCTGAAAAAGAAGCAAAAGTGAAGCACGTGTAAAGGAGTCCTCTTTCAAATAGGTGCTTCATGGAGAAGGGCCTTGAGAAAAGACAGAAACAGTACTGCTCTGCTGTCCTATTAACCCTGCGCTGGTTGCAGATATAAGAGAACTTGGGTTAAGGGGGATAGGTAAAGTCACCTAAAAATACAGACTTAACCTCAATACAATTTTTTATCCTATTTGTATGTTTTGAAGTGGATTTACAGAAGAAGAACAAGTAGAGATGTTACAGGTCTCCAAGTACAAGCTGCTATGGTGAAAAATATTAACTCTGTTGTTTATGCATATGAAAACATGCATTGGGTACATCTTTGTCAAACTGACACACTGATAGACTAAAATAATGCTTTTTCTTTCAGTCCTACAGAAAAAGTTGCCATTACTTACCACTGTATCCAAGGAATGTCACGTAGATATAATAGCCAATTGCAATCAGCCATAATGTGTTCCCAACAAAATATCCAATGACTGAATTAGGTATGATGACATCTGAAAGAGAAAAATTGCTCTCAGCTGCTGTGATAGATGACTTCATCAGAGAGAAGACAAAATCTTTTACTCACAGTTGATGAAAAACAGCTGGATAAAATGCAATATGACCAGAAGTGGGTAGAAAGCATTCAGATGAACGTCGAAGGCATATCCCCACTCCACATCATAGTCTCTGTTCTGCTGCTTTACCAAGTACTTGTTAGAAATGAACCTACATGCGAAGATAAGTGAAAAGGTGGTTAATGTGAAGCACTGAAGCTGACTGACAAAACATTGGTTCGAGACAGCAAGCTACGTCTGAGATCCCAACTCTGGTACTTCTGCTCTGGGGGAGAAAAATACTCAAGAATTATGCAAGCCAAACCTCAGAATACTTTTGTTAAAACTCTGACTTCAGTATTTGCATTCAACAGTAGCTGAAATGCACTGCAGGTAACACAGTGCCAGAACTCTTCCCTTAAATGGTTCAGTGCAGAATTTACCAGCGTAATTACACATTGGCTATTGGACAACCAACACTGCCAGTGTTCTAGACTACAGAACAATCCTCAAGACCTCATATTTAATTCATTGTAAGGTCTGCTGATGTATGCTGTTTAGAAATAGAACAAGCTCTGTGTGCTTAGAAACAAGAAGAGATCGGATCTTTCAGGGTAACTTCCTCTGAAATTTCTCTATGCCAGTAGAGGAGTCAGAAGGAGGCAGATCCTGGATGCAGGGTAAGGTGAGGCAAAAAGGGCCTCAGATTCATTGTGAACAGGGGAAACTTTTGCAAAAAAGGCAAGCATATGCAGGAGGAGGGGACTTGAAACAAGGCAGAAGAATTAAGATTCCTTTCTGATCACCAAGTTCTTGATTTGGAATTATTGTTTAAGTCCAACCAGCATAAAAAGAAAGAAAAACTTTAATGCTTACTAGAATACAGCCTTTCTACTGATGAACCTTTTAACAGGAACCAGTAAAGAAAAAGATGTTTTTTTTAAAGCAATGTTTCATAGAATCATGTTTGGAAAAGACAGCTAAAATAATCTAGTCCAACAATCAATGGCCCAAAATTTACAGTCAGCATTGCCCATCAGTGTCCCAACAGCAGCACTGAACTCCGAGGGGAAATGGTTTAAACTGGAAGAGGGTAGATTTAGACTAGATATCAGGAAGAAATTCTTTACTGTGCGGGTGGTGAGACACTGGAACAGGTTGCCCAGAGAGGCTGTGGCTGGCCCCTCCCTGGAAGCATTCAAGGCCGGGCTGGATGGGCTTTGAGAAGCCTGGTCTAGTGGGAGGTGTGCCTCTCTCGAGCAGGGTTTGGAACTACATGATCTTAAAGGCCCTTTCCAACACAAACCATTCTATGATTACTTACCACATCAGTGTTGCTATCAGGAGACCAACACCTACGCAGTCTATGAATACGACCCAAAGCAGCAACTTTATTGTTTCAAAAAACCCCATGTCCAGCACAAATCCAAATCCTACAGTAGACACTGAAAAGAGAAAAAGATTTTTAAAATTAGCTTTGGAAATGAAAGCACAAGATTATAAATCAGTGTTATTTTTCTGCGTTTGGTGCTAAAAAATCTCCAGTTTCCTTTTTATCTTTAACCTCGTGATCTTCAGTGCAGCAGCAGCTCTGAATTCACACAATGCTGCAATAGAGTATTGTTTTGTAAAAGCTCCTTCTGAACCAAAGCCATGGACAGACTGAGGGAGTTTCTAAGGCTGGGAAAGACTTCTCAGATCACCCAGTCCGACCAGCAGCCTACCCCCAGCGTAGGGACTGGGGGTAGGCTGCTGGTCGGACTAACCACATCCCTCAGTGCCACATCCACACGGTTCTTCAACACCTCCAGGGACGGTGACTGCACCACACACACACAGAATCACAGAATTGGCAGGGTTGGAAGGGACCTCAAGGATCATGAATCTCCAACCCCCCTGCCACACGCAGGGCCACCAACCATCCCACCTAATACTAGACCAGACTGCCCAGCGCCCCATCCAATCTGGCCTTGAACAACTCCAGGGATGGGGCATCCACAACCTCCCTGTGCAGCCTGTGCCACATCTTTACGAGATCTTTCCTAATACCCAACCTGACCCTCCCTTGGCACA